ATCAGAGTGATCTTGGTGACCCCGTAAATTAACTTAAAATTTTGTTCTCTTATTAGCAACTTTTTTTTAAGCAGCAATTTCCCTCCGGTTAAAGAATCTTTGCTCAAACTTTGAACTTTTGGACCGAGTTTTGCATCTCTTCGTTCAATAGTAAACTGTGGCTGGTTACTGCAAACTTTTGCATAATCTTCAGCAAATGTTTCTTTCCACAGCTCAAATTCAACCTTCTTGTCGTGTTGCAAATCAAGAAAAGGCAAAAGAGAGTCTTCTACCCATTGGAAATCAACATAAATAAGCATAGTCTAAAAGCTTACATATCAGCGACATCCGTCGTGCTCATTCCTTGCATTGCCTGCGTAAGAGGTTCGCTCTGGACTGTTTCAACAGGTGAAGGTGTGGCGGCTAGAACGGACAGATTGGTTTGCTGCGGCACAAATGCGGGCCATTGCGAGTGATTAGCCACTGAAATTCAACAAAATAGAAGCAAATTTCAGAAAACAATGTTTTCTTTAAATCAGTATTCTAAAATAATTGGCCAACGCACGGGCTACCCGCGCGAAGATGCGTTTTTTGCATAGTTCCCCGCAGTTTTTGTTGCTACCGGCACAGGCTTTTTCGGCAAATGCCTACAGCTAAACAAATTAAGACTGGCCGCCAGAACTGTCAGGAAACACCCCTTTAAAATTTAAGCTTTCTACCATTCATACTGTGGTGTTCTGAAGGAACGACGGAGTCAAAAGCAACGAATCGAGTTCGAAAATTTTGCATCCCTGCCAATGCAGCAAGTCAGTTAGCAAAATTAATTTATACGCAACTACGACAGCGTCTCAGGAAGCCACGACAAGCATGCGTTTTTCACCCAACCACTTACAGAATTATTTACGCCAACTGACACGCGTTTGCATGTGAAAATTATGTGTACTTGAGTGCTAATTTCGGATTTACTTGCCGCACATGTTCGACAGCCTTGCATGCAAAAATGCTGCTTACAAGCTACGCAGGTTGCCAAATTAACTTGTCATCGTCAAGTTGCAAACGTACCCACACGCGAGACAGAGAGCACAAAAGGGGTGACTTTTCCAGCACATTGCCGAGGACCATATTCACAAAATTTCAGCTCCTCGGCAACTCTTTTTACGGGCTTATGAAATTGTCCGCATCAATCTCCACGTGTTCGCACATGAGGTGCAGGCGAGAAAGGCCTAAAGGTTGATTTCGTGCACATTTACTCGCGCACAGTCGGCCAGGCTCACCAAGTTTTTGAGGAGTTATAAAAGTATTGGATTAACTTCGACTTATTTGTGCACTGGACGTAAGTGCAGGTAAAAACTAAATTCAAATTTTTCCTTGAGCCGCATACACACAGAGAACATCCTAGCAAAGTTTCAGCTTCCAGCTTGACTGGCTTTCAAACTTCCTGTTCAAAATATCTTTTATGTGTTGAGAACTAGGGATCTGTGAACGTCTACTCAGCATCTGCGGATTCATTCATATTAAGTTACCAAAATCTCAGCTTCACAGCTTTTGTGAAATCTGGAAATTACGATATGCAGAAACATATGCACACACACAAGCAGTCTCCTTACAATATGCGTTTTTGCATTGCATAGTTGCAAGAAACGTAAACTGCTAATTCTGCTAGCGAATTCTGTTGGGCAAAAAAAAAAAAAAGAAAAAAATTGTTTTACGACATTTCAAAGGCAATAAACCGTGCATTTTGTAAGTGTGTGGCAGCCAGCCAAATGAATTGGTACAGGAAAACTGTCGGCCTTTTCTTTCATCACATTAAAGGCTTCGTTCGCTTCGCGTTGTTTCCGGATTTGTTCCTCTCGAACTTGTTCTAGTTCTCGCTGCAATTTTTTAACTGCATAAAATAATTAAGATTGAAACAGCTTCGATAACTTCAATTACAACATGTCCCGCATTTTTCCTCTTAAATCCCGTCAAGAACCCCTGTAACTCCTCTCCAGTAATTACTCCGAATTATTGGTAATGTCAAATGTTGAGTAAACACTGTCTATGAAATAAAAGGAGTGGTTTGAATGTCAACATGAGCAGAGGAGGGCTGGGAAAAGGGCGACAAGCTTTGAGCTGAGCAAAATGGAGAAGTTGCCAGATGAATCAACGGAGAGAGGGGAAACAAAGAGTTAACTGCTGACCGAAACCTCAAAAAATTCGGGTAATCACCGGAACCTGATAAGTTTGCGCCCAATAAAATAAGAAAACCTCACAAGTTTCTTTTGTTCCTCCTCTCTTTGCTGCTCGGCAAGTATTTTTTCTTGTTGCTGCCGCTCATACTGCTCCTTCATGTGCGCCATTCGCACGCGCTGCTCATGTTTCTGGCGTGCTGCATCTGCCTGCTCTCGCGCCAGTGCTTCGGCTGTTTCGCGCAATAACTGAAAAATTAGACAAAAGATTTAAGAAATCATTCTCTACGCTCAAAAATTTGTCGTTTTTATCGAAATCTTTAAATTTTTTATCTTTTTTTTTCTCGGAAATAAAACCAACATCATCCTGCTGCTGTTTGTTAAGTGCGGCTGCGCGTTCCTGATGCATTAAGTCGAGTTGTCGCTGCTGTTGCTCCAGAAGGCGTTGCTGCTCCAGTTGCCGTTGCTGCTTAAAAAAGATCAGATCTTAAAATACACATGCATATAGATGCGCATGTATACATAAGGCAAACCGCGAAAACACCAAAGGCATTGGGGCTATCGATGTGGAGCTCGTGATGTTCCTAACGCCGCCAAGCTTTCAGCGTTTAGATAAGTTATTAGAAAAGTGTGAAATTTTTGGCGCAGCTGAAGTAATTTTTGGCGCGCAAAAGAAGAACGGCTTAACTCCTAACTATGGGAAACATCAATTGCACACACAGGATTTATCCCGAATTGGACTGTCAAGAAGCAACCTGAGCCTGCTGTTGAGCAGCTTGTTGTAGGGCTCGCTGGTACTGTTGGTGATGCTGCTGCTGCAGAACAATCTGCTGCTGTGCAAAAGCCTGCAAAAAATGAATCCAACTGCTGACCGGTATGTTCATTTGGGACTATGCAGAGCAGATTCTGCGATCGAATGATTGATCTGAACGCCTAAATTACGCGCCATAAGCGGGCAAGTAGATCGAAGATGTTGCCAGACAGTTCGCCAATGGTGGAAACAAAAAAAAATATACTTTCCTAGGCGACATATAACCTAGTTGTGACATAACCTGTTCTTACAATCTTATTTGAAAAAGAAGCTATTATGTTAATATGCATCAAAATACTGTAAAGACTGCAGGCAGAAGGAAGCACTGCATTTCATAAAATATAACAGAGTAAATACGGAGATTCGTGTTGCTAAGCACCGTAGAAATCCTAAGTTCAGGTCTGGTTGGGGAAAAGTGAGGAAGGGAGGAAGGATTTACCGTGAAGCTCGATCAAAGAGCAGTGCAGAGCGGCTGCTTCTGCTACAGCTAATTTCAAATACGCGACATGAAAATAATGCAAAACTAAAAGTTTATTATTACATCCATGACAGCGATAAGGACTCTAACGCCTCGTAGTAACCAGAATAGGGCTGAGGCTATCGTTGGCCAACATATTACACTTACAGAAATCTCTGTTTAGTTAATCCATCCCATATTTTTCTGTACCGT